GGGGGTGGGGTCAGCAACCGGGTGGGGAGCGCTCCCTCTGCGGGCCCCCTCGCGTCTCGGGGTTCCCAGACGTGCCCCTAGGGGAGACCCCACTGCCCCCCCAGGGTAATTGGGGGTCAGCCCCACCCACGCGCGTACTGGTCCCAAAACATCAGCGGGCTCCGGTTACCACCGCCTGCCCTGGGGGCCCTTGAGGCCGCCCGCCCGGGTGGAGCCCAGCTTTTCCTTCCATTTCTCTTCCTGCCTAGGAACTCCCTGCCCCCGTCTTCCGCAGGGGGACCCCCCCTCCTCTTCACGCGCCCTTGGGGGCCTGAGCGGATGGGAGGCCGGGCCGGGTGAAGAAGGCATTCCTCCAAAAGCTACCGGGCCAAAGCCAGGCTTCTGTTGGCTCGGTGGGGCCCCAGGGGTCACCCTAAATCCTCTGTCAACGGCTGCAGTCTGCACCCTAAAACGATGGATGGGGAGTGGAAAGTGCAGGAGGACTCCACCACAGGGATCCTCCCCACGGGGTACGCACACGGTCACCCCAGCTGGGGAGCAGCATCCTTCCCCCCACCACCACCACCACCACCAGCGCGGGCAGAGTGACAGACAGGGAAGCGGGTAGAGCGGCACAGACGGAGATGGGGGAGGGGGTGGGTAGAGACTTTCAAAGCTAGACCCAGCCACCCTGCCAGGCACACAAAGAGCCCGCGCACGCTCCGGCGGCGCCTAGGAGCCAGAGCTGCGCCCCTGCCTGTCCCCGCAGCCCCAGGCACGTGCTGCGGCGCACACAGGCCGAAGCCCCCACCCCCACCCGCTGCCCCTCCTAGCCCAGAATCGGAGCCTCCTGGACACACCTCCGGCGGGCACACCCCGCTGTGCCCAGACGGAGCTGAGCCTGTACCCGCGTCTCCCTTGCCTTCCCGGCCACTCTGTAATCAGATTCCTAAATTTAGAAGCAGCCCTGGGCCTAGCCGGGGAACCCCGCCCCCACCCGCTGCCTGTGGCCAGCCGGCCGGGGGGCTGCGGTCGGGCTGCGACCCGGCGGGGCAGCCTGATCCTGGGGGCTCCTAAGGTCCGCAGGTCCAGGCAGACATGACCCCACCCGGCTGCGGTGCTCTCAGGCCGCACGGGGCCACCTTCTGGCCACCCAGACTGCGGCCACGTTGCCCTGCACACCTCGGGCCAGGGCCCCTGGGCCTTTCTCCCAGTCAATCAAGGATTGGGCACCCAGGCCTAGGGTGGGGAGGTCTGGACAAAGGAGGCGCGCAAGTGGGCCAAGGGTAGGTCTGAGCTAAAGTGTGTGTGGGGGTCTGCTCCAAGGTGATCCCTCCAGAGAGACAGGGTGCCATCCCACCCCTTGTCCTTAGAGGCTCCCATCTCTGTCCTCTCCTGCCTGGCAGGCAGCCTTCCAGCACTCCCGCCCCCTCTCAGGATGAAGTCCTCCATCTTACCCAGCCCCCACCAGGACCCCGCTCCCAAGAGGCTGGGCCTCCTTTGCCCACCCCCACCTCCCTCCAGTGTCTTACCTTGGGGCCAGGGCCTAGGTGCCCTGCCCTTCCCCCAGCCTCTGCACCCAGCTCTTTTCTTGCCTCCATCCTGGACTGCCCTAGGAGGCCTATGCCCTGGCGCCCTCCTGCACACGCAGCCCCTGCCCACCTCCATACCCCATAGACCCTAACCCAGCGCTCATTTCTCCCCAGAGGCAGATGCTCAGGCACCGAAGATTCTGGAATTAGGAACAGGGAGAGGTTTATTCCTTTGTGTGTGTCTGGGGGGGGTGGCCGCTAGGCCCTGGTGTGCTGAGGCTTCTAAGAGATAGGCCCCAGGAGGGGTGTCCTAGCAGCCTGGGGGCGTCTAAGGGGCCACAATGCCCAGAGTGGAGACGGGTTCCCGGTGAGCACCCCTCCTCCCCAAGGGGTAATGGCGCAGGGTTGGAGGGGGAGGGGCAAGGCCCCACCCCTCCCACCTGCTGCAGCCGCCCCCTCCCCAGCTGGCCCCCTCTTTTGTGCAAAGCTACACAAAGGACAAGGGGCCCTGGCCGGCCTGGCCATCTGCTCCCAGCAGCCTGAAGGCTCTTAAAGGGACAGCACCCCCTCCTGCCGCCCTGGGGCGGGCAGGCACAGCCCAGCAGAGGCTTCTCCACGGGAGGTGGACTCAGTATCCCCAAATCCCTCCCACCTGTCCCTGGCTCCCCAAGCCCCCAGACCAGGCACCATCCTCCCCCCCCCTCCGCCCGCCTGGGGCTAAGAGGTGCCACGTGGTCAGGAAAATGGGGGTGTGGCAGGGGAAAGGGGAGGCAGTCTGGGGACCAGCCCCTCCTCCCCTTCTGCAGGAGGCAGCCGCAGGGGCCTGGGAAGCCCTGTGGCGCAGCCTGAGAACTGGGGTCTCTTCGCTCCCACCCCTACCCCCCAGGAGGCCCCCTCGGAGCTGGACAAGAGCAGCTGGTCGCCCAGGAATGCCCTCCAGTCCTGGGCGCCCTGGCGCTCGCTTCTCTCCTTCCACCGTGAGGACAGCCCCGCAGCCTCCCCGGACTTGGGGCGCACTCGTTTCCATCCTTTTACAGAGGGGGAAACTGAGGCTTGGCGCAAAGGTGGGCCCTGTGCCTGGAGCCTGCTCTCCTCCCCGGGCCTCCGGGGTGTGGCGCTGGACGGGCGGTGCGGCTCCCGGACGTACATTTGCATTATTTGCCGGGTGCTTATTCCTCCCAGCTGAGCAGGGAGCTCAGCGCAGCGGGGATTGTGTCCGCCTGGTTTTCTGCCTGGCATCCAGCAGTCTGTAGGCACTCAATATTTGCTGAGTGAATCAATGCCGGCCTTCAAAGGGGGTCTTCCTCTACTTCCGCAGGCTCCTTTCCCCTCTACGGGCTGCACATCTCGCCCCCTCCTCCCACCTCAAGGTGAGGCAGGAGGGACAAAGGTCGGCCGAGGATGCTGGGAAAGAAAGGAGGGTGACCTTGGGCCCCGCCACCGGCCTCCCTTCTCCACTCCCTCCTCCCCACGGCTGGGGCAGCTCCAGCCAATCCCGGATGACCAGCCCTGCCAGACAGACTGGGACTGTCCCGAGCTCTGGCCCAGCGCGGCTGGCCGCTGTGGTGTGGTGTGGTGCCTGGGACCAGGGCCAGGCCTGCAGTGGCCAGAGCCAAGGGGCTAAGCTTGGGGGAGGAGGCCGGTGGGCGGGCCCTGGGGTGGGGAAGGGAGGGTCTTTGGCTCTTAGCAGAAACCTGGCTGGGCAAGTGGGGGCGGCCTTGGGAGGGTGCCTCACACACACACACACACACACCCACACACACATGTGCCACCCTACCCGATTCCGGGAGCCTAGGGGAGGGAGAAGCTGGGGAATGGAAGGGGTGGGCTGTCAGGGATAAGGGGTGGGGGTGGGGGGCTACCTCAGCCCCGACCCTTACTACTACCCAGACAGGAATTCCACCCCTCCACCCTCCTCAGGTTGTGTGGCCCGGAGCACTTCCTCCCCTCTCGGGGCCCCTAAGGCATGTCCTGGAGCCCAGCTTGGGAAGCCACTGAGAGGTGACAACCTCACCATCTCAGCCCCGGGTCTGGGGTTGGAGGAAGCTAGTGAGCCCACCAGGTATGTGGTCGGCAAGGAGACCCCGGCTTTCTGACACCAAGGCCAGCCCAGGAAAGCTTGCTCCCTGCACAGGCGGGGACTGGGGGAGAGAGAGGCAGCCATCCCAGCTGGGAGCGACTCTCGCAAGGGCATCTCCCAGACCTCCAAGCTATTTGACTTGCCAGAAGGTGAGACAGGGCCCTCACCTGGGGACGCCTGGAGTCCCGAGCCCACTGGCGCCCTCTGGTGGTGATGGCTTGGACAAGGGCTTGGTCCTACCTCAGCCTGCTCACAAATGTCCACCCAGAGGGCCTGAGGCTGGCATCCCAAGGAGCCCGTTCTTCTGGGATGAATCCCTGTGATCACAGAAGCATGGAGTTACCTAGTCTTTTTTGTTGTTGTTGTTACCGAGTCTTAGAGCTAATTCTTAGCCAATCTTGTTTCCAGAAGTCAGCCAGAGTCCGCCCCCCC